CCCTCACACAGCTATTGCAAGCCATGCTGGTGACTATTACAATGACAATGTTGTGAACCACTTTAGACAAATCATAAAGGAACGGGAGGTACAGGCCTTTATGGACAGATATGTTGTGCGACAGAGGTCCAATGACTCTCAAGCTGGTCCTAGTGGCATTAAAAGAAGAAGGGAAGTAACCCCGGAAAAGGACTTGATACCTCAAGTCCTAATGGAAGGGGATTTCCCTTCTATACATTAACAACTTCCACACACTCCCCTCCTCCCATCCCATCAATCATCACCAGATCTTCAATAAAGGTAAGTGTCAGTTTGTGTGTATTAAAATTAATATTTCATGTGGTAATTTTTTTTTTTTCATACTTTGGGGTGTCTTGCACAGATTAATTTGATTTCCATTATTTCTTATGGGGAAAATTAATTCAGCTAATGATAATTTCAGCATACAATGAGCTTTCAGGAACGGATTAATATTGTTAGCCGAGGGTCCACTGTACTCGGAATAAGTAACGTTTTTGCATCAAAATATTGGCTTAGTGAATGTCACTGAATTCGATACAAGTCATTCGTCAGGGCCGCTCAGGCCCCGACACTCCATGTACAGCCAGTGTGTCATTGTTTACCAGCCAGTGAGGATGATCCCACACGTTCATACAATACATTTTGTATTATTCCATTCTTTTTTAGTGCTTGTAACTGCTAAATAAGCCACCATGGGCCCAAAGAAAGCTTCTAATGCCAGCCAGCCCTTTGGTAAAGAGCTGAGAGAGAGGGGAGAATGTGCCTTTTTCAGTGATTCTGCAATATGTATGATACTAAAGCAGCAGGAGTCTATAAAGGCTATAGTGCAGCCAGCGATAAAGCGTAGCAATAACAGTGTAGCAGGTAAGTTAAGCGATTAATCGATAGAAAAAGGATAGCACAAAACTGACTCCTCTATAGTTGTTGGAGGTATATAGGGCTACTGACTAACACCGCCGGCTCTGCTGACGCCTTCACCACCACTATATAAGGCTTATCTTTCAGTGGCCCTTATACACCCAACAACAAACAACACACCACCACTCGTGATCTTCTTAATGCCATATTTTATTCATTCTAGAGTATATCATGTTTCTGTTATTAATATTGTTTATTATGTCATATTAGATGAATTGTGCTAGATAAATAAGCTGTAGAGCGGGTATTAGTGTCATATTGAAGGACTATCTTGTCCTGTCTCCCAACACAATTCTTAACATACACCAGACACAGACCTCTCTGTAACACTTTTTTGAGCGACAGGGGTCCAGTGACTCAAGCTGGGCCTAGTGGGATTAAAAAACAAAAAAGGGAAGTAACCCAGGATAAGGACTTGGTGCCTGAAGTCATTATGGAGTGGGATTCCCCTTCCAAACAATTGTAAACTCCTCCATCCTCTCCCCTCCTCCTGTCTTCCATACATCACCATGTATTCAATAAAGGTAAGTATGATGTTATTATTGTTTTATTCTTCATGTATCATTGTTTTTCTGTGTAGGTAAATGTAGGTAAAATGTAGGTAAAAGTAGGTCTTAGACAGGGATGTGTAATGTCACCATGGTTGTTTAATATATTTATAGATGGGGTTGTAAAAGAAGTAAATGCTAGGGTGTTCGGGAGTGGGGTGGGATTAAATTATGGGGAATCAAATTCAAAATGGGAATTGACACAGTTACTTTTTGCTGATGATACTGTGCTTATGGGAGATTCTAAAGAAAAATTGCAAAGGTTAGTGGATGAGTTTGAAAATGTGTGTAAAGGTAGAAAGTTGAAAGTGAACATAGAAAAGAGTAAGGTGATGAGGGTATCAAATGATTTAGATAAAGAAAAATTGGATATCAAATTGGGGAGGAGTATGGAAGAAGTGAATGTTTTCAGATACTTGGGAGTTGACGTGTCAGCGGATGGATTTATGAAGGATGAGGTTAATCATAGAATTGATGAGGGAAAAAAGGTGAGTGGTGCGTTGAGGTATATGTGGAGTCAAAAAACGTTATCTATGGAGGCAAAGAAGGGAATGTATGAAAGTATAGTAGTACCAACACTCTTATATGGATGTGAAGCTTGGGTGGTAAATGCAGCAGCGAGGAGACGGTTGGAGGCAGTGGAGATGTCCTGTCTAAGGGCAATGTGTGGTGTAAATATTATGCAGAAAATTCGGAGTGTGGAAATTAGGAGAAGGTGTGGAGTTAATAAAAGCATTAGTCAGAGGGCAGAAGTGGGGTTGTTGAGGTGGTTTGGTCATTTAGAGAGAATGGATCAAAGTAGAATGACATGGAAAGCATATAAATCTATAGGGGAAGGAAAGAGGGGTAGGGGTCGTCCTCGAAAGGGTTGGAAAGAGGGGGTAAAGGAGGTTTTGTGGGTGAGGGGCTTGGACTTCCAGCAAGCGTGCATGAGCGTGTTAGATAGGAGTGAATGGAGACAAATGGTACTTGGGACCTGACGATCTGTTGGAGTGTGAGCAGGGTAATATTTAGTGAAGGGATTCAGGGAAACCGGTTATTTTCATATAGTCGGACTTGAGTCCTGGAAATGGGAAGTACAATGCCTGCACTTTAAAGGAGGGGTTTGGGATATTGGAAGTTTGGAGGGAGATGTTGTGTATCTTTATATGTATATGCTTCTAAACTGTTGTATCCTGAGCACCTCTGCAAAAGCAGTGATAATGTGTGAGTGAGGTGAAAGTGTTGAATGATGATGAAAGTATTTTCTTTTTGGGGATTTTCTTTCTTTTTTTGGGTCACCCTGCCTCGGTGGGAGACGACCGACTTGTTGAAAAAAAAAAAAAAAAAATGTATATTTCATGTAGAAAACATTTTTTTAATACTTTTGGGTGTCTGAAACAGATTAATTGGATTTCAATTATTTCTTATGAGGAAATTAATTTGGAATAAGTAAGATTCAGGATAAGTCACTCTCTCCAGAATGGATTAATTACGCAATCCGGGCGTCCACTGTATAGTACACTCATTACTTACCTTAAAATATTCGTAGTCTTAATCTAGGGTGAGATGATTAGTATTTCTTGTAAGAAATCAAGTGTGGTACGTATGGTAGCCAGCCAGGCTACCATACCAGACCACCCCACCCACACAATATTCTATGACATTTAAGCATCCCAGAGTGATAAAATGCATATACAGTTCACTCTTCAGCAAACATTGTTAAAATTAATGCTCTGGGTCAGTTTAAAAATTTTTAAGATTAGATCTGTTGATGTAATGTAGATCTGTCAACTACTATACTTATATCTGTTAGCTTAATGTTGATTTGTTAATTACTATATATTTGTTAATGTAGACTTATCTACTTTACATCTGTTAGTGGAGGAGTTGAAGGTTTCGGAGACCACTCCTTTATTTATGAACCGATTACATTCATTTTTGGTGTACTATTAGAAGCTTATATTAAAGAGCCTTTGCTGAAGTTTCAATCATATCGGCCAAAAAGGAAATGAAATATGCAAAATTTACGAAAAATTACATTTGGCAGTACTCAAGTACTCAGTGGTACTTGGAAAAGTGGTTTTGACACTTTCTGCTGATAGAACACTTCTAATTCCATCATATTTGAAGCTCCAATTATATAATAAATCTTACGTTCATGCTAAAAAAAATAAAGTTTCATAACTTTTTTGACATTTTGGAAGATGTCGGTCTTGTTGCCCACACAAATCTGAAAATATTTGGGATAGTTCAGAAAGGTACCACAAAACTTGTAAAGCAATCATTCTTCTATGTTTGTTATGAAAATCAAGTCAATCCATTCAAAAATAAGGATAGAGAATCCATAAATAGGTAAATAACTTACTTTCGAGATATAGGCCGAAGCGCGCGGCACCCCAGGTGCCCGGGAAATTTTTTTTTTCCCCGAAAAATTCGCTTTATTTTACACTTTTTGCGTGACCTACGAGTGTTTATTACAGTTGACCATTGTAAATCCGTTTTCTCTCATCACTGATGAGAGAGGTCGGACCCTCTCTTCACCTTCAGGGGAAATATCGATAGAAATTTTTTCCTTGGGGCGTCATATTATGCTATATATTATTTTTTAAGGTGTACTTTTTATGTTTATATGCTATTATTATATTGCATTATATCATAATAGATCAATTGTGATAGATAAATAAGCCTTATAATTGATATTAGCGTGGGTATGGAATATTTTGTTGGCTGGAGGTGTCGGCCATTTTGGGTACTATACCCAGGGTACCTGATTGGTTACTTGATCATATTAGCTCTGGCCACTCTGGCATGATCTCAGATGGTGAATTTGTATTATATTAGACAAAGATATAAGAAAACGATAACAATAACACGGGGGAAAAACGTAAACAAAGCCGAGTCAGCGCTTCTTACGCAATATGTCACGTCAGCGCTGTCACCATGCCTGTTATAAATGGCTGTAATTCCTTTTAGAAACATCGTACAAGGATAATAATTATACCAGAGTGTAGCCAGAAAGTTCAGCTATTTTTTGGTAACAATAACTCAATTTTCATATTTCTTCGAGTGTTTTCTCTCTCCACGCTCCGAAACCTTTAACTTCCCCTTAAGCACGAAATTCGGGGTTCCATTGTATAAATAGAAGTAGCAAGGCATACCTGCAATCTTGCATGTTTACGAGACAGAAAAAGAAATTGTCGAAGTGTCCTTAAATCAGAAAAATGTTAAAAAATAGCAAAAAAGTAATAAAGTACTCTACTATGCCCCTAGTATAGTACCATACATACAATTTACAGATATACTGCAATAAACATTGAAAATAAAGAAGATTAAATAATTTAACCAGTGGATTTTGTTTATAATTTTTAAGTCTGCTATATCGAAGGTTTACTGTAAACAAAATAAAAATTTAGGCTTTCTTTTCAAATTTTGTCGATTATTTACAATTTAAAATCATATTGCATAAAACCATAAACAATTATTAAACATTATTATTAATGATAACAACACAACAGATTTACATAAACTTACATGCACATCTCCTGCTAAAGTTTCATAAGTGTCCTTTAAAACAGACCAGTTTTGTCTACCAAGAGTTAATGCAACAGCTGGCAGTGAATAAGCACAATGTCTTGTTAATTCATTGTCAACTGTTTCAGCTCTCATTGGGTCTGTCATGCTGATGTAGTGCTCCAACAAAGTCTGAAAAAAAAGTAAAAAATAGAATTCACAAAAAATACTCAGCCACAAACTACCTCTCCCCATATATTCAATGATTACTTTATTAGGTACACCAGTACCCCACTTGTTAATGCAAATATCTAATCAACCAATCACATAGCAGCACCTCAATGCTTGTAAGCATGCAGACATAGTTATGAGGTTCAGCTGTTGTTCAGACTGAACATAAGAATTGGAAAGAAATGTGACACTGACTCTGGAATGATTATTGGTACCAGATGGTGTGGTTTGAGTGTCTCAGAAACTGCTGATCTCCTGGGATTTTAATGCACTACAGTCTCTGAGAGTTTACAGAGAATGGTGTGAAAAACACAAACATCCAGTGAGCAGCAGTTCTGAGTGAAAACACCTACGGCTTTGAAGCCAGGGTTTGTGCCATAGTTCTATTCCATAATTCTAGCAACTTCAAATTTAGCGCAAGAAGGCTGGTAGGCCTACATCTAAGAGAATGGGTCTGCGTGGTCAATGTGTGCAGTAAACAAAAAAAATTGGGGCACCCGCATAGCATTGTGGGAATGCCATCTCAGTACACTTTGTTCATCATGCCTTGTGGTAAGGAAGCTCTCACTCCCCAGCGAACTGGGAATCTCGTCTTCCCAAGTGATAGTTCTAACATGGATGGAAGTGGATCTGAAGAGGAATTCTATGCTTTTGAACAATTTGTGACCGAAAGTAATGCTAAGAATATCAAAAATTATGCCGAAAATCCTGACGACCCTCAACCTTCTACCTCTGGTTCTGGTGCGTCTCAGTCACGTTCAGTTGTACCTCGTCGCAAAAGAAAACAAATATTTTCACGTGGCCAGGCCTCGGATTTGAGTAATAGTGATGATAGTGAGGACTCACATTCACCAGTAAAGCATCAGTTTATACGACACTGCATGCGCTCGGGTAGTGTACCATATGCAATTCCAAGGGGACAGAGTACATCCCATGGCCCTACACCTGGAATAGACAGTGAAAGTGACAATGATGTGGCTGAAATTGGGATGGATAGACCACATGCATCAGTAGGTGGTGGTGGTGGTGGTGCCATGGGTATGCAGCACCAGCCCAGGCTGGGACCCACGCCGCTGACTCAGCAGGTCCAGGACAAAGGGCATCGTCAACTAGCCCCACACCACAACCTGCACAACCACAACTATAACCAGCTTATGATGTCCAGTACCCACCAGCAAACCGTAGTGAGAACAATGACTGAACCATATCTTGGTAAGGGGATTATTTCATATACTGAAAACTGGGACACAAGCCCCTTACTCGCCGATTTCTTGCAAGCAAACATGACAAGATGTGTGTGGCACAGTGCGTTCTAACTGTAAACATATACCCAGGTTCAACGCAGGCACTCCAAGTGGTGAGGTGCAGGTGTTTGCTGCCAATGATATCATGGCATTATGGTGGCATGACAAACGAGATGTCACATTGCTGACATCCATTCACCATAATTAAATGAAAGACAGTGCCAAGGTGGATAGATTGACGAATGAACCTATTCTAAAACCAGCGACAGTGATTGACTACACACAAAACATGCATTTGGTTGACAAATGTGATATGCAAATTGCCTTTGCCGATTGTGTTTGTAAGAGTTACAAGTGGTACACAAAACTTTTCTTCCATCTCTTGAACATTTTAATGCTCAATGCATATAATATGTACCAAATGAAGACTGGCAACAGACCACTGTATGGTGAATCTTGTTTATCTGTCATCAGACAACTAATAATCAAGTACCAGGTAACACCACCTGCTATACAAAACCATCCACAAATTGATCACTGATTACTCGCTCATTTGAGGCGGGAAGGTGATCCCTTCCTAATACAGCTTCCTTCAACTAAGAAGAAATGGGCTCAGAAGAGATGTTTTGTCTGTTCACAAACAAAATGACGGCCACAAAGATGCAAAGACACACGGTTTAATGTGCGAGGAATTTAAGACACAACTGTGCATGATACTTTGTTTCAAAGACTTCCACAGACTGCAGCAGTTCTAAGAACATGTCCAGTAACTGTACATATGTAAATATTTTTTTTTTATTATCACACTGGCCTATTCCCACCAAGGCAGGGTGGCCCGAAAAAGAAAAACTTTCACCATCATTCACTCCATCACTGTCTTGCCAGAAGGGTGCTTTACATTACAGTTTTTAAACTGCAACATTAACACCCCTCCTTCAGAGTGCAGGCACTGTACTTCCCATCTCCAGGACTCAAGTCCGGCCTGCCGGTTTCCCTGAACCCCTTCATAAATGTTACTTTGCTCACACTCCAACAGCACGTCAAGTATTAAAAACCATTTGTCTCCATTCACTCCTATCAAACACGCTCATGCATGCCTGCTGGAAGTCCAATAGATATATGTAAATACAGCGGTCCCTCAATAATCGTCCGGCCTGAAAGTCGTCGATTTCGGAAATATGTAGTCTCATTATTTCGTCTAAACATTGGCTCGCAAATGGTCCGTTAACTCACTAATCGTCTTTCGTCCTGGACGCATACTCATGGCTCTGAGCCATTCCCAGCCAGTGTGCCATTGTTTACCAGTGAGTGACGATCCCCTCACATGTTCATATGAAATATTTCATAATATTCCATTCATTTTAGTACTCGCAAGTGCTAAATAAGCTACCATGGCTCCAAAGAAAGCTCCTAGTGCCAAGCCTTTGGTAAAGAAGGTGAGAAATACGATTGAATTTAAGAAAAACATCATTGAATATGAAAGTGGCGTACATGTGGGCGAACTGGCCAGGATGTATAACAAATCACGTACAACCATATCTTCCATCATAGCCAAGAAAAAGGAAATCAAGGAAGCTGTTGTTGCAAAGGGGGTAAATATGCTGACAAAAATGAGATCACCAGTACTCGAAGATGTTGAGAAGTTATTATTGGTGTGGATAAACGAGAAACAATTAGCTTATTTGTGAAAAGGCTAGGCAGTTGCATGACGATTTGGTAAAGAAATTGCCTGCAACTAGTGGTGATGTGAGTGAATTTAAGGCCAGCAAAGGCTGGTTTGAGAGATTTAAGAAGTGTACTGGCATACACAGTGTGATAAGGCATGGTGAGGCTGCCAGTTTGGACCAAAAAGCAGCTGAAAAATATGTGCAGGAATTCAAGGAGTACATAGAGGCTGAAGGACTGAAACCTGAACAAGTGTTCAATTGTGATGAAGAGAGAGATAGAAGAAGGTGCCTTCTTCAGAAATTAAGGAGATTTTTGAAATGTGGGGTAGGATGGAAAGTTTTAGGGAGAAACATCACCCTGAGAAGGATGTTGCAAGCCATATTGGCAACTTGTACAGTGACAGAGTCTTGGCCCATTTTAGGGAAGTTTTAAAGAGACGCCAGAAACAGAGCTCTCTGGACAGTTTTTTTGCGAGACAGGACTCCAGTGACTCTCAAACTGGTCCTAGTGGCATTAAGAAACAGAGAAGAGAAATAACCCCAGAAAAGCACTTGGTACCTGAGGTGTTGATGGAAGGGGATTCCCCTTCCAAACAGTAATCCAATCTCTCTCCTCCTCCAGTCTTCCATACACTAAGAAGAATTGCCAATAAAGGTAAGTGTTATGCTGTTAATGTTTCATTCATCTTGTCCCATTGTATTGTTTATGTACTACATCTATATTTCAAGTAAAAAAATTTTTTGTTTTAATACTTCTGGGTGCCGGGAAATGATTAATTGTATTTACATTATTTCTTATGGAGAAAATTGATTCAAAAATCGTCTATTTCGATAATAGTCCCACTTCCAGGAACGGATTAAGGACGATAATTGAGGGACCACTGTATATAATATACAACATTTTTCCATGTTTTCTGGTGTAAACAAGTTTTGTAAACAAGTTTTGTAAACAATATAATGATGAAAATATTAGTGAGGTTACTGTGTTGAATACAATGAATGTACATATACACATTATGCATTATACTGGTCTCACAGGCCACAAAAGTTACTGGAAAAATCATTAGAAAAGAAAAAAGTAACAAAAAATTAAAGTAAAAAAATGCAACTTTATCGAAGTCTCTGATGTTGCCGTCACGCAGTCACTGAGAGTCAACTTCATGCCTCTATATCTCAATAATTAATGATCAGAAATTTTTTGTTTGTATGTTTATTACCTCTAGAAAAATATCTGTAACCGTCTCACAGTCGAGACCTCTGATCACAAACCTTCTCTCAGTGTCGAAAAATATTAAAAAATATTTTTCTTACCAAAATCTTAAGAGCATTTTTTTGATTGTTTTATAAGAAAAAAAAATTTGCTTGTGATCCGTACTTACCGAGATACAGAAGCGTGAAGCTGACAGAAAGTGAACCGCTTATGGCAAACTCGGCAACTGCCGCTCACTCAGTATTATTATTTTTGCTTTAATTCAATTTTATTTAATTTTCTAATATTTTATTTTTGCAAGTAACTTTTGTGGCCTGTGAAACTAATACAGTGGACCCCCGCTTTACGATCACCTCCCAATGCGACCAATTATGTAAGTGTATTTATGTAAGTGTGTTTGTACATGTATGTTTGGGGGTCTGAAATGGACTAATCTAATTCACAACATTCCTTATGGGAACAAATTCGTTCAGTACTGGCACCTGAACATACTTCCGGAATGAAATAATATCGTAAACCGGGGGTCCACTGTATAATGCATAATGTATATACAGTAGGGCCCCACTTATACGGCTGGTTAAGTTCCAGGCTACTGCCAGAAAGCAGAACGCCATTTTTTTTCCATTTATAAATGCATATAAATGCCAGGTAACAAGTTTACACTAACATATATTATGTTAGCAATAGAGCTAGGCATTAAAAACAATAAAACGTAAAATACACACACAGCACACCCATTATTTACCTTAAAATATTTGTAGTCTTAATGTAGGGTGAGAGGTGAGTTTAATTTGTAGGAAATCAGGTCTGGGAGGGAGGGTAGCCAGCCAGGTCAGCCGA